TTTATTTTCTGTAAGTTTATTTTTATATACCATTATATTATGAAAAACTTCTGTGGAAGAATAACCCATAAGTGCCTTTGGGGAATCTTTTTCCTTGCCTTTTATAGCACCATGAAAATCATCTCCTTAAACTGTTGCCTTCCAGGTAGATAGGAAATATTGCTGTGCATATCTGACTTGGCTCATAAAATGTCGTGTCCAGAAGGCAGGCAATGATATTTTATTCTGTAAATAATTCTTCATGTAACTCAGTTTACTTTCAAAAGTTTCAATATCTGAGTTCTAAATTTTGCCATAACTCACAAAGTGAAATTTAATTGCCAGAGTTTTCAATAAGAAAATCTATATTCTAGGAAAATGAAATATATTGCGGATATCTCTCATTTAAGATACTTTTTAACATGCCACATTTTAGACTTAAAAGTATTTTAGAGGCACCATCTTTAGTAATATGAAGGATGGGAGGGAGTTAGATCATTTTCAGCTGATGCCAAGTAATGTCAGAACTAGAATTTGTGAGTCACAGCTCCTAATCATTGAAACTCCAGCATTAAGGGGAAATGGGACAAACTTCTAGAATCCCCCAATATGGAGTCTTGTGAAGGATCTTCTTCATAGCTACTGTTCCCTGGATCAGTACCTCATTAGTACCTCATTACCAAAAATTTTCAATGGTGCCCAGAGAACTTATTTAAAATGGAAATATTATAGTTTAAAAATGGGAGCTAGAGCTGGGGTTGTGGCTCAGTGATAGAGCACTTGCCTAGTATGCCTAGTATGTATGAGGTTCTGGGTTCGATTCTCAGCACCACATAGAAATAAATCAAATTAAGTTGCTGATGGCAACAACTAAAAAGATATTTTTTAAAAATGGGAGCTAATGGCAAGATAGAATTAACTTTGTAAGCTTTTTATAATGAACTTTATTAGAGAAAATTTGTAAGCTTTTTTAATGAACTTTATTAGAGAAAATTTATTCCCCCCCCCTTTGAAAAATAATGGTAAATAGAATAACTTTAACATTCATAGGTGATTAAAAAAAACAAAACCATGGATATTTCATTGTCTTAAATATAATCTAATATGTTTATAAAAATATTTTTCTTTGAACTTCCTGAAAATACTTAAATTTCTCAGAGAAAAAAATCACTGTTTTTTTAAATTGACATTTTAGAGAGTATTGGATGGATGCAAAAATAATTTCATGTTTTGTTTCCTTACCTTTTGTAGTTATCATTTTCTTTCTCTCTCTCTTTGCATAAAAGCAGATATTAACTTTTGGCCTTTGTAAATGCTACCAAAGTTTGGGCAGATGCTGTATCTGCTGTTCTTATCATATGTTGGGGTGGCTTAGACACCCAGAGTATTACATTTCAAGTGGAGGATCCGTCTTACCATAGTTTTTTTTTTTTTTTTTCTTGAACAAATTAAAATGGAACCAGCAGTATTCCAGGCTGGTGGCATTGCATCTGCAGTCCCAGCTATGCAGAAGACTGAGGCAGGAGGATCACTTGTGTTCAGGATTCAACATAGGGAGATCATATCTTGAAACAAACAAACCCAAACTGGCCATATGATAACCAATCAGTTTTGTAATTTCCAGTAACACCACTGAACAGATTTTTATAATATTTCCTTTAAACGATCTAAGAGCTTTGCAATCTTGCCATTCTTGTTTAACTTCACCTATAGAAAGTAATGGAAGACTTTCAAAGCAAATTTTGGGCTATTTTGATCAAATACACCTTGGTTTTTTAGATAAATTCACTTTTATTTTATTATTGAAGTAGAAGTTATGCCAAGAATTTGGAGGGGCTTAGTGTATATAGGAGGGAATATGATACAGTAATCATGTCTTATTTTATAATTTTGGAGTAGCTCTTATGCATACCTCATGTTGAGACTTGAATGTAACCTATAAATAATTCTCTAGACAGGGTTATAATTTATCTTTTAACTCCTTGTCTCACTAAGAAATTAAACACTGGATATCCAGAGCTGTTTGACTAAACCAAGACTATGTATATTCTTCCCATTCAGATAATCATATTTGTTAATTTACAATTACATGTATATTAGCACATTATATTTATCCTTCTGTATCTGTGGGTTCCACATCCATGAAAATATGGATTGAAAATGTTTTTTTTTAATTGCATCCATACTAAAGAAATACAGACTTTTGTTTCTTCTTCTTATTATTACCTAAACAATAGAGTTTAACAACTATCTATATAGCATTTACATTGTAATAGGTATTACAAGTCATTTAGAGATAACTTAAAATGTATACTTAGTTTCTATGCAAGTACCCAGAGTCTAAAATGGTATAGATTTTGAGTATCTTCAGGGGATCCTGGAACAAATTCCTTATGGCTATTGAGAGATGAAGTGTTTTTTTTTTGGGGGGGGGTCCTGCGGATTGAACCCGGGGCGTTTAACCACTGAGCTACATCCCCAACCCGTTTTTTATATTTTATATAAAGACAGGTCTTACTAAGGTGCTTAAGGCCTTGCTAAGTTGCTGAGGCTGGCTTTGAACTCATGATCCTCCTGCCTCAGCTGCCTGAGTCACTGGAATTACAGGTGTATGACATATCGCCCAGCTTGAAAAGCTCATTTTAAAAAAAATATCAGGAAACACAATCAACTTTAATTTAACTGAGTTAAGGTAGAGACCACATCTTCAGTGGTAGAGAGAAGTTCAAAATTACAGTTAAGGTAAAAGTAAAAATGTGGAGCCAAATAGTTTTGTTGTAAATTTATTTGCACAGTCAATGAACACTATCCATGCTAGCTTTTCCTGAAATTCTGAAAAGTGGAGCACCATGTGATGTCTGATCTTGGATTCCTCCTCCTTTAGCCCATCATCATCCTTTATTGGAGCCTCATGTCCTTCTCCATGATTCCCATCCTAGTGGGCAATGAAGGCAGGGGAGCTCACAGTTACAGTACAGATTAATGTTCATTTATTTTATTTTTTTGTTGCTTGAGTCCAATCTACATGCTTCATAGTGGTTCTGAAGACTTTCAGTGTACTTTATCTAAGAATATGTAAAAAAATGTGTTTTTCCCCCAACAAGTCCATTCAATATTGTTACACTCTTAAAATCTACCCTCTTCTAACTYAACTGTTTTTCTAAAGTTAAAAGTTTTCTTTGTTGAGATGCCAACCCCTTTATGCTTTTAGCAATTACCTTAGTGCAAAACTTACAAATAACCATACAATTGCATATCTTCAGTTAGCACAGAACTGGGACAAAGGCTGGCTTATCCAGGGATGCTATGGGCTCTGTACTTTGGGGGAGGAATATTAGGGACATTCTCATTGAGGTGGGTCCAGTGTGATATCCCTGGTAACCATGTTTAAGAACAATTAATAACTAATAACATAAGACCTTTTTTAGTAATTTAGATTTTAGTAATTTAGATTTTAGTAATTTAGTTTTTACTTTTCCTTTCAAACTTATGCACAATTAGGGTAATGCCACTTCAAGTCATTCTCACTTGCAATGTGTAGTCGAAGTCACTTTGATCTCTACTCTAATTTATTTTTTCCCCAATGCTAGGGATTGAACCTAGGGCCTTGTATAAGATAGCAAGTGCTCTACCCCTGATCTCTATCCCCATTCCCTCTACTATCTAATTTTCCCTTCATAAAAACCCAGTGAGGTTTTATTTTACAGACAAACTTCCACTCAGACATCTAGGGACTTGTCCATGGTCACATGCTTGGAGAGGCCAAGTCTTGAACTAAAATTTCTGATTACCTCTTTCCCACTGTTACACTCATGATCCTCTTCCATTGAGCATTAAAAAATGCCACTGTTGTAGCACTCTCATATATATTTTTGCTATCTGCTTRAATCCTGATGAAAACATAGTTAGGGCAAGTGATGCTCTGCCGGGGGTTGGGGGTTAGTTAACTTATACTGTTATGTGCAGTTTCTGGTGATGCATAAGGTATATGTAATACATTAGAATGAAATATTTTTTTAAAAAATTTCAAAATAAATGTTTGATAATATGTAGCTATCCTTTCTTAATTTTGAAACACTGGTTCTGTTATTTTTATGTGGATCCTTAATTCTGTGGCACTGCATGCTTGCACCATTAATTTAAAAATAGGCCAAGGATTTAGATAAAAGTAAATGGGTTGTGTTAGATGAGGTCTAGGTCACTTTACTTGCAATTATGTAGGCATTTTAAGCATGTTTCCTGGTTAAAAAGACATTAACACATAAAAAATCAATTATAAAATCTTCAATTGCAAAATGCTCTTACCTAACTTTATGAAATCTGTATTTAGAACAGCCATTTTATAACTTATCATCTTTTTGGTACATGTGTTAGTTTCTTTTGTGTGTTATCCACATCCTAACAGCCTGAGTATTTTCATTTAAAGATTCTCTGTTAGAGTCATTTTATTTCTTTTAAATTAAAAAAATGTTAAAGAGTCATTTTAAATACAAATTTAACTATTTTTATTATAGAGTCAGTTTAGGAAGCTACTTGGCTATGGAATGTTTAGCATATACTTCAATACATTTATAAATTCATAACTATTTTAAGAAGATGTGGTTGATCCACTTTCAGATTTTAAATTATCTCAGGTAGCATGAGACCTCTGATTTTGAAATTCTCTACACATTTTATACTCCTAAGTCCCCCCAAATATTTTCTATTTTGAGTTCAATTTCATACCTCTCTAGGCTGATTCAAGCAAAACAATATTTCTGTCACTAATTCCAAGACAAAGAAAAGGAAGAATAYTTTTTGTTTTTCCAAGATTCCCATCTGTTGCTGAGAGAACCAGATGAGAAGTCGGAAATCTTTCTTTTTCATTCCTTATTCATCACTCCAGTATTGTATGAAAAGTTGCAGCTTTTTTTCTTTTTTGATGATAAGGGGAAAAAGAGAAACGAAAGACAAAATAGGAAAAAAAAAAAAGAAATAAGTTTAGCTTAGTGTCGGTTTAAATCTCTTTCTCTCTTTCTTAGGAGAGAGTTATGTGTGCGGCTCAATAGAGCCCTTCAAGAAACTGGAGTATACCAAGAATGTGAACCCCAACTGGTCAGTGAATGTCAAGACCACCTCAGCTTCCCGGGCAGTGTCTTCACTGGCCACTGCCAAAGGCAGCCCTTCGGAGGTGCGTGAGAATAAGGATTTCATTCGGCCTAAGCTGGTCACCATCATCAGGAGTGGAGTGAAGCCGCGGAAAGCTGTCAGGATTCTGCTGAACAAGAAGACGGCTCATTCCTTTGAGCAAGTCCTCACTGACATAACCGATGCCATCAAGCTGGACTCGGGAGTGGTGAAACGCCTGTACACTTTGGATGGCAAACAGGTAAGGGTGGGTCTGGGTAGGACTCTAACTTCACAGGGACCAACCAGGGAGTTGGGGGGGTGTGTGCCACACCATGGGGATCCGAAGCATGCATTTTGCTCAAGTCACAGAGACCTGGGTCATTTACCCAGCAAGCATGCGCTTGTTGATCTCAAGCTGGACCAAGGTTTGTGCTGGGAAGAATTAATCATGGATACAAAGTACAGAATAAAATCTATCTTTGAAGAGTCAATGGTTATTCGGGCTTTCTGCTTTTTCAGTATCATTTGCTTTGCATAAATGATGCTTTTCAGTCATGTGTTTTCAATTTTGCCCATGTCGTAGAGCCTCATGCATGTATGGTGTGGAGGTAAATGATGTAAGTAATATCTTATGATTCTGTGTTTCAGGAATGTTCACTGAGACTTATTTAAATATTATGGATTTTACAATGTAAGTCTCGGGTATGACATATCATCATCTTGTTGGCTTTAGGGTGCACGTATCTAGAATATTATGTATCTTGTATTAAAAATATAATTTCACAATTAAAATGAAAGGGAGGTCTCTTTAGCTGTGAAATACACATCTATCCACATGGATGAATGACATTTTTTTTGTGTGTGGTGTTGGGGACTGCACCCAGGGCCTTGTGCATGCAAGGCCAGCACTCTACCAACTGAGCTATTTCCCCAGCCCCTGATGAGTGGGAATTTTAAGGTGAGATGAACAGAAAGGAGGTATTAGCTTTCAGGGTTTTGTGAGACTTTTGTAAAGATTTGACAGAACCCATGGTGAACTGTTTAAAAAAAGAAACACTGATCAAAAGTACAATGTGATTTCTAGTCTTTCATAGTTTAACAGTGTCTTGTTTAAGATGACCATTTTTAACATTTCTATCTTTGCTTGAAGTTTATTTTTTAATGTGACTATCAAAATGCCTTTTTTAATTTTGAGGGATAATTTGAATGATTTGTATATGGAGTTCATCTTAAAGTCAAAACTGGATTCGTAAATTAAGAGATTGATCTTTTTAAATAGAAGACTCATGCAAGTTCTTGAAGGCTAACACATTTAAACTTAATGAATTAGAATAGATGCTAATACTACAAAGAGTGTTAGGCATGAAAGAATTATTCCCCTAGGGATCCATTTAAATGCTCAAACTTATACAAATTCATTAGGAATGAAGGAATATGTGCCAGTTGTTTATTTATATTGACCAATCTTCTGCTTGTCTCATAACACTTGCATGTGGATAAGGATTTCTAGTGATAAGATTTTGTCTTGTAGATCTAAGAAGCTAAAGCCTGAATGTCATCAATATATCAGTGACTACAAAGTCCACTGCTGGTCCATGAATTAAAGTAGCATTAAGATGGCAAATTGCATATTAAGATATTTGAGCCTTCTGGTTCCCTTTCTGAGGATTTATTCCACCATTATGAAGTTTTGCATTTCCGTGTATTTTCTCAAGATGAAAATTTATCTGTTTTCATCAAAAGTAAAATTTAGAATGAAGAATACATTTTGTTGAGACTTTCTCCTCCTCCTCCCATTTCAGAATTTTCGGGATTCCAAATTGTTATTGTACTGAGTCTAAAAAATCAGCTTTCAATTCTCTAGCTAGTCTTTACATGAACTGATCAGTTAATATGTTTATCAGAAGAATAAACTCCTAGAGTAGATACTATGTGTTCTCAATTGTTCCCTTACGTTCTGAATGCATCTAATGTCAATATTTTATAGTGGTATGTTTGCTGTGCTGTACGTGTAAATAATTGGGTGTAATGGGAAAGAATCCCACGTTTGATGTCAACAGACCAGGATTCAAATCTTGGCTCATCCACAGATTATTATTATTTTTTTTGATATAAGTAACTTAGCCTCATTCTGCTTACCAACAAAACATGGATAAAACCATCACTGCTGTTTTAAAAGTGCTTATGAGATCAACTGTGATAATACATGTGAAATCAGTTTTGTACTATCGTGAGTATAATAGCTTTATTAAGCATCATTCTGAGTGCTTTGCATGTATTAACACATTTAATCCTTATAGCAACTGGATTATTATTCCCATTTATCAGATGAGGATACAAAGGCACAGAACTTATTAAAAATATGTCCAAGACTACACATAAATGGTGAAGGTAGAATTTGAACCAGTCTTACTCCAGATCTTGGAAAACACTGGATTGCCACAGAGATGTTTAAGCAGCACACAAAGGTACTGAGGAAATAAATACATAAATAAATATACATATATATATATTTCTTTTTTGTACCAGAGGTTGAACTCAGAGACAATTAATCACTGAGCCATATCCCCAGTCCTTTTTTTATTTTTTATTTTGAGTCAGGGTCTTGGCTAAGTTGCTGAGGCTGGGTTTGAACTTGTGATTCTCCTGCCTCAGCTTCCTGAGCTGCTGGGATTACAAGTGTGTGCCACCATGCCTGGTGAGATTTTAATGTTAGGCAGTGTTCTGACACTTTAACAAGAAACCTGAGATTTTTGACCTACAAAGAGAAAAACATTTATTTTGGCTCACAGTTTGAGAGGTTTTAGTCTATGATTGGTTGGTTCCAATGCTTTGGGCTTGTGGAAAGAAAACACCTCATGGCAGTGGCACGTGGTGAGTAGTAGTCATTCACCTCAGGGCAGGGAGTAAAAGAGTGTGAGGAAGGGCCAGGCTCCCACAGTGACCTTCAAGGGCAGCGCTCAGTGACCTAAAGACCTCCCATTAGGCTCCATCCCTTAAGCATTCTGCCATCTTCTAATAGTGCCAACCTGGGGAACAGATCTTCAAGACATGGGCCTGTGGGGGTCCTTCAGAATTCAAACTACAGCAGGAGTAATCAGTCCAAGGAATATTATTTGACTCTTTTCTGATCATATATGTATGTATGTAGTGTTATTTTCCCTGGAGTCCTTCTGCTGGCTGTTGTACTTGATTGTTCATTTTTTAGCAAGCATACAGTTTGCTGTTGTGGCCTTTCTTCTATTATATCATGCTCTTTTCATGGCAGGAGTACTAAAAACAACTGCAGAGGGATTGGCTGATAAAGTAGAATGAACATAAAGACTTTTTGCTTGGGTTCACAGTGAGAACAGAAATGCTTCCCATGGACCTCGGGACTCTTTAGAATTGTTTCAGTTCAAAAGAGAAATCTGTCCAATAAGCAGTAAGTTAGAGTCCAATTGACATCCCTGGCAAAGACTGGGGCTTGATGAGCCTCAGAGAATAAGCCGTTTTCCTCAAAGCTTTCCTGTGGAATGACGGGCTGCCTAGTGGGATGGCATCTTACTCTATCCATGGTGGCACTGGGGTCCACAAGCTGCCAATAAGACACCATCATTTTAGGGGGTCAGGGGGTCCTGGGGATTGAACTCAGGGGCACTTGGACCACTGAGCCACATCCCCAGCCCTATTTTGTATTTTATTTAGAGACAGGGTTTCACTGAGTTGCTTAGTGCCTCGCTTTTGCTGAGTCTGGCTTTGAACTTGCCCTACTCCTGCCTCAGTTTCTCGAGCCACTGGGATTACAGCCAGGACATCATCTTGTCCTGCCTTTTTATTTTTTAATAGCTTAACTGAGTCCTTGTATCAAACTCATAAACAATGTGGAAACTCCAACAATGAATAAGCTATTTAAAGGCATCTTTTTTTTTGTATTGAGAAAATAGGATTATTTGAACAATTAATAGCTTGAGCCAGATGTGGTGGTGCACACCTGTAATCCTAGCTACCCAAAAGGTTGAGGCAGGAGGGTTTCAAGTTCCAGGTCAGTCTATGCAACTTAGCAAGACTCGGTCTCACATTTCACGTTGTCATGTATGAAATAAATAAATAAAATTTAAATAAATAAATGAATAAATAAAAGGATGGGCTGTACCTCAGTGATACAGTGCCCCTGGGGTTCCATCTCCAGTACTATGGCGGGGGAAATAAACAGAATAGTTTAATTACTTTAGGTCAGTGGGCGGTGAGGATTGTATGGAAACAGAAATAGTTTTTCTCATTGCCTTCAGGCAGCCAGCAGTTGTATCCACGGTATAGATACTGTTGATGCTGAGATTTGTAACAATGGAACGGTAAAAGCCTGTGCCTACTGTTTAATACGTTACCCAGAGGAGATGCGCCCTGGAGGGCATAGACCACATGATGCCCTCCCTCATTCCTACCAGCTCTTGGCCTCCTTGATTGTTGCCTCTTGGGTTTGCATGAAGCCCTAACCCAGGAGTTCATCTTACAGAGCTTTTTTGAGATTTTTAAAGCTGACCTAAAGGAAATCAACATATTGGAAATGCTGTATCAAATAGGATTTTGCAGAAGCTTTAAGATGTCAGAATGTGCTGACTACAGAGTAGCCTATTTGTGAGCAAGTCTTTTCTAATGATTTCAATTCTATTCTTCATTCAGGGACACTGAAGTAAGAGGTTTGCTATAACCTTTCCCCTTCTTCGCAGTGTATATGAGTCTGCTCAACATGTAATCAGGCTCTTGGTTGGCATGGCTGGGAGTCCAAGGAAATACTTACAGTGCCTTGTTTTCAGTCATGCATTATTTGTCTGGTCTTGATTAAAACCCCTACACACACACACACACACACACACACACACACACTAAGAAAAAGGGCATTTGCTAGTTCAGGGTTAAAATCATGTCCCCTTTCTCCATATCAGAGGGGATTTGTGGAGTCTGAGCCTGAGAGTCTCTTTTCTTGCCATCACGTGTGTCAGGGTGCTGGGGCTTTGCTCTGTCTTATTTACTTACCCTGCCAAGTGGCTGCTCCCAGAGGTCATTTGGAGTGTGACTATTTTTTAAGTGATTAAAATAAGCCCCCAAAGTACAAGATTTGCTGCAAAGATACCCTTGCATATCTCCTGAATCCTTTTATGGAAAAGCAAATCTGGCTGTCTGGAACTGCTAAATCTGCTAAATCTGTGATTATTGAGTCCTTCCTTAGAAACATAAAGAACAGCAAGTCTTAGAACTGTGAATGCCTAAGCAGGGAAT